CATGTTATTATCTCTGCTGCTGCTCTGCTTAGAAGATGACAAAGCTCTTGAAGTCTCACAAGTTTTCTGCTTCTTTATAGGCTTTTCTGGAGCAACTTGCTTTTTTCTTTAACTTTTATGTCAACTTCACTCAGAATCACTGCCTAAAGAGCTTGAAGAAACAAGTTCCTTTGATTTAGGCTTTGCTCTGCTGCTGCAGCCAAGAGCCTCTTGTTCACTCAAAATTCCAATCTTTTTTCTTTTTTTCCATAAATTTATTGAGAAAAAAATAGCAATGAGGCAGTTTCAAACCAAATTGGTAGGACAGTTTCAATAATTAACACATTGCATACATTCTTCCTAGTAATTAATTGCTGTACAAGATGCGGACATGATATCCCATTTACAAACACAATTAGAACAAATCCCTCTATTCGTTAAGAGAATGTAACTATATATCTATCCTAACCATTTTGAATACACAGATACAAAATGGACATTCATCTGTATCCCCTCTTCTTGTTTAGTTCCATTATTTGAAAATTACAGGTGTGTGAACTCAGCAAAATGTTCTAAAAGAGTCCAGTAGTCCATAATAGTATTGGGTCTTCGCTTCACTGGCAATGTCAGAAATTGTTAACCTGAGTCTCCGACAGCTCAACATAACAACATGGCTTTACTTCTCATACTTCGTTTTATACTTTTCTCTTGGATGGTTAAGACCAAGGTAAAGCAGGACCTATGCAATGAGAGTTAGTAGCTTTTGTGTCTGATAAGGTCAGTGAAACACCCTCAAGATTTATCCTAAGATTTCAAGGTATATATTCATTTCAAAAATATTTCTCTAAAATTCACTCCGTCTATATCTCACATCTTTCTGATTGCAGTATTTGTGTACAATTTCAATATGCTATATAATTATCAACTTTCAATAAAGTTAATGAGAAAAAAACATGAACCAAGAGCAAGAAATAAAAAGTTCTTCAGCAGAAGAGGGCTTAGGATAACAGGGAAACTTTAGTCTGGAGTCCATACAGTGAAAAAATCTCAAATAATCTCATCATCTCAGAGGTACTCAGATGTGAGATTAGAGCATATCTCTAAGCTTCCCTGGGGTGATACCACATAGATTTCTAGATTCTCAAGCTTGGAAGAAATCTTAAATTTCATCTAATTCCCTCTCAATTACAAATTAGCTTTTCAATATTTCTGCCAAGTAGTCTACCCTTGCATCACATCTTTGGATTTGGTCTCCCATCTGACCATTTATTTATTCATTTGTTGACATTTACAAAATGCTATTATGCATACATAAATAACTTTAATATGTAGTTATTCCTCTTACGGAGTTCTGCGGGTAGGTGACAAGACAACTGGGGAGGCAATGCAATAAAAGAGCACCAGATAAGGGGCATACAGAGTCCTGTGGGTGACACTGGGAAAGTCCTTTTATAAACTACCGTGAACTCAAAGATGATGCTCAAATATACAATCATCAAATCCCTACACTGGAAAATTTAAATATACTCTTGTAGATCTGAATAAGTAAAT